GTTGCTGAAGGTGTGTGTGTATATGTGTCACTTTTTTTTCTTTATCACTAAATATAAAACTGAACTTTTTTAATATTATGTTAAATATCACTTCCAGTTTAGATATTCCTCATTATTTAGGAAGCCCCGTACAATGTTTTTATCTGGCTTTGCTTTTAAATATCCAGACTCTTGCGTTTTAAACGTTCTTATCACTGCTTTTTATTTTCTTTTGTTACATTACATTTTTAGGAGCGTAGACTTCTGTAGTTTTACACATCCAAGTCTTTACTATTAGGTGTCACGAAGAGTTAGAACATTTTAATTTTTTAGTCTTTAAGGTTATTATAATATAAAAGGTGTATAAATGAAAAACACTTTGTTATGTGCAGCGGCCGAGATGTGCAAGTTGGATGATTTCCGCCTTCCAGGTACTGATGTTGCAACCCTTCCTGTATCACGTTCTGTTTCTCTTTGCCCGAATTATGGTCCTTGTTTGGTGTCTTCCGTCTTGACGGCCATGCGTGAGGCCAGTGCCGCGGCCCTATGGGAAATGCATGCCTGCGTTAAGATCCAGTCAGTCATAAGGATGTGGCTGCAGCGCACCATCTATCGTAGGGTACGTAACACCATTATTAACATTCAACGCTTTTACCGAGGCTATTGCACGAGGAAGTCTCTTGCTGTGCAATTTGCAGAAGATGAGAAAAATTATCAATATGCGATTTTTTCTTATTATGCAACTCGCATTCAGGCATGTTTTAGAGGGTATTACTGTCATAAATATCATAGTAACTATTATGCTGTCAAGCGATATGTGATAAAAGTGGTGAAAGAGTCGGATCGAATACAGCGTATGGCTGAGTCTGTACAATCAAAACTAGAGGAGCAGCGCCGTATTGAGGCGGATGAAGCTGATGCCACCGCATATCGGCGTGCTACGGAGCAGGCGCATCACTTGTTGTCCACTACGGTTATACCTGGTGTATATGGTGCTATTCGTTGTCCACATGGAAGCCCTGAATCATCCACAAGAAACGGCATGTTGACCACTATACGGGATACTAAAGTTGAGGATGACATTAAAATCAACAACTCGCGTTTGATTCGATCTGTAGTTCTACAGCGTCAGGAGAAACTCTCTAATATTAGTGGTACTTTATCAAAAACAAAATCTACATCCCATGCTGTATCCAAGATGACTCAGAATAAATGTAAAGAAAATGATAACGAAAGCAAAAAAGAACGACTTATACTTCCTGCACTCACGAGGTCTGGTATATGCCACCGAAGCTCTGAGGCACCCACCGCTATCGACGAAAGAGATGCTAATGATGAACGGGCTGCTCGCGCACATTATTATCGGCAATGCTTTAAGCCGAGTATCGGAGCGCAGACAAAGTCGTGTTTGTATGAAATAGAGGACACCCACCCACCCGCTCGTCCCCTGTTGCTTCCACACAGCCCTCCATTAACCCAGCCTGTATCGTCTCTTACTAAGTCAGGTTTGCGCAACTCTGAGAACAGGCAGCCTTTATTGAAAAAGGATAGGATTACTCGCGCCTACCCTTCCAAAGAATTCGATTCTCTCAATCATGAATCTGAATTTAAATTTCATCTACTGACGACAGGTTCCCTACTAGCTCCCCAAAACGCTGTTTCAAGTAGTAATCGGAATTTTGGTGTACCGGCCCATGACTGTTATCATGATAATGAAAGGCGAGATGACAATGACAGTGGTGGTGGTGTTAGGGGTTCGGATTCGTACATACCCAATGGGCCGATCTACGATACTGAAAAAGAAACGCTGCAGCGCGTAGTGGACATGAAGGTCATTCATCATTTGCACAAAAACGCAATTTTCAAGGTTTCCAAATCAATCTCTAACCGGACAAAGACTCCGGCATTGTAAAGGGGTTATAAATGCTGAAGATATGAAAGCGAATTCACTTCTTTGAGTAATTTCTCAAAGAAAAATGATGTATATTACGAAAACGATACCTTGATTAGTGTTTTCTTATCCTTTGATAATATAGTTGATACCTGACTGCTATTAGCGTCAAGAAATATATCAAACTTAGATGCAGCTATTTGTATCATCTTGATGTTATACCTATTGAACGAAAACATTCGGATGATATGGGATTTACTTATGGACGCTGGGTGAGTTTGTCTTTCATGGAAACCATATTGTGATTTCAGAATTTTTATCTCTTCTAGTTTTGCCTTTTTTTCTGAGGTTTGCCTTTTTTGTAAAAAATTCACTCTGTTCCCTCGAAGCTCGAGAAAAAAAGTCGATGTGGAAACCTTCAAAAGGATCTGTAGATGTTGCTGACATATCTCAACGTGTAGTGCAAACAGTTCATTCCAGCTCAGCTTTACCACCCTCTCCCAGAGCTACTCATCTCCAGGACTTTCTACGCGTTTTGCGAGAAAACCATGGTAATAAATCAGAAGTAGTTCCACTTCTCGGAACTATTCTAAAACAGTCCGAAACGCTGCTCTTCCCGTCCTCTGTGACGATGTCTTTGATGAAAACAGAACTTGTACAGACCGGTGCTTACCCGACAGAAGCCCGTGTACGCAGCTCTTTTGCTGCGTGTGGAGCGCATTCTGTTTTAGGCTCGCTTTTGCAATGGTTTAGCGAATCCATCTTGATGCTTTTCACGTGCGGTTTGGAGTCAGTAGCATCTTTTCCTGAAGAGTGGGATGCAAGGCTTCAGAAGGAACGTGCAAATATGTCTTCACTGCATCAATACATTTTTGAACTACAGGGCTTTGGGATCCTTTTCAGCTACCTGTGGTGTCGCTTGGCAATGGTGGCCAGCCTTTCTCAGACTAGCACCAATGCGACGAATTCCCGAGAAGAACTGGAGGGACTACCTTTTTTACATGAAAATACCAATTCTACATTTTTTAAGAGCAATCAGACTGGTCATGACAAATCGAGGTCATCTCACCAGGAAACTCAGAAGATGAGAAAGGCCTCACATATGGCATATTTATCTACACAACTTACAGTGATGGACAAGCCCTTAGAAAATGAGGCTTCTAATAAGGCTGCGGCGGCTTTTCTCCCCCCTATGACGTCATCTGAGCAGAATGAGGTTGTTGAAGGTGCTTCGTCTGCATTAGGGGTAAAACTTGAAGCTGTCGGACGCAGCTCGGGTCCTTCAGTTTCACAGACACCAGGCTGCTCACAAACTAATTTGCTCAAAAAGTCACAAAACTTAGTATCTTTGGGTAGTCGTGTTAACAAACTTCGCGGTGCCACAGATCCATCCAATGTTGTCCAACCCGCGACTTCATCTGCTAATCTGTCGGAAGCACTTATAAAAGGCCACGGTTTTACCACGCTCTCTCAGAGCAAGAATCCTGCACCAAAGGTGAGAATGCCGTCATTCGCTAAGTGTCTCACAAATTCACCTAATATAGAGCGAGATATATTGATAACTAAAACATGTGATCATGTACCTACACAGTTGCCGTACAATGAAGACGCGCCAATAGAATTGACTTCATGTCGCTGCTCAGTTTTACCGCCAAAATCTGTTGCAAATAAAAGCAGAGGTGGATCGTGGTTCCCGAAGTCAAATTCATCTTCAATGCCGATATTTCGACTTGATGAAGCGGAGCAAAATTCTACTATTACTCCAACCATAGACCCGATGTTAATGAAGAAACAAGGAGAACTTAGATCCATATCAATAGAGGATTTTGCGCGGAATGAACGCAAAAAAGCCCTTAAAAAGCTTTACGGTGTCACTGAAATTAGGAATTTCGCTCACGAAAGGGACACTAAGGACTACATAAGGCACATGGATGAGTTGAGAGATTTGATAGAGAACGAAGGCACAAACAATACGGAGGAAGCTAATTGATAGCAGAGTAATTGTCAACGAAGATAATTGCAATATTTTCGTGAACTTTAATGTTTTCACTATTCATAAGTAATATCTTTGCTGGTATTGGAGTGATAATCTACACTGTTTATCATTTGTTGTCCTTAAAAAAGGACGGAAGAAAAACATGTACATTATATTATCTATTATTTTTTAAATCATTATAGACAATATTGCCAATTTGATTAATTTCCTGAAACTAACATTTAGTTGCATATTTTTCTTTATCTTTCAACCGTATGAGTTCCAAAGTTTTTTTAAATTGTATTTCCGAAGCGTTTTTTTCCCCACATTACTTTACGAAACTTGAGGTAGGTTAAATTTGAATTATATACTTTAGTATTATTCTGTATACTAGCATTGTTTGGTTTTGTGATAGTGTGATCATTAACATATTTTTTCCCTTAATCTGGTATATTTAATCACATCAGTACCTTCAGCAAACGGCAAGCTCACGTATTAGCTTAAACATCATCGGATGTTCATAAAAGCGTTACTTGGGAGACAAAACAACAGCAGTACGCGCTTGGCATGAGGAACCGTAGATTCATTCGCAAGTTTCATGGCAAATCTTTACTCCGAAAACGGTATTCTGTTTTATTTCTTTCCATACTCAGTTTCAGTGCACTTATTTTTCTATACACACAATTAGTTTCTTTGGAAGTTGGACAAGACCAGAGATGCACTAATGTGCAGTTTCGTAAGGAAAGCGCTTCTTTTAAGCCTTACAAAAAGGGCAACACAATTCTCGGGGTCTCTGGAAGTGCATGTGAGGGTCCTAAAAATAGGTTTCAACACACAAAAATACGTCCTCCAATAAAGCACAGGAAATACAATACATTAAAGCAGGATCTCCATTCTTCATCGTATCCAAATCAGCGTGCTGACAATGATATCTTTGTATCTAACTCAGCGAGAAACTTGCCTAGTTACACTAACCCATTTGTCCAAACTGCATATTCTTTGGCAGGTTCTTCTTTCATGTATCTCCAGTTGTTTCCACAGATGACTATTACGGAAGTGACAAATCCCAAAATAAATTTTAATGAATACACCACCGAGGAAGACAATGAGCTGGCAGATGAGGAAAACCAGTGGGAGTGGATCCATGGGCCTGACCCTTTTCTAATTTCTGCCAATATGCACTTAGTGCCCCTTCGAAAAGTGCGCATTCAGCTACTTAGGCAGCGTGTGAATCGGCAACGCTGGGTGGAATCCTCCTATTCAATTTCCACAGGCAGTGGACACGCATCTCAAGAACCTGTGATATCTCTTACACCGGTAGAGTCACCACTGCTCCATTTTCCCAATGAACTTCTTGTCGAAGAATATTTACCTGGGGACAGTGGTGTAAATTTGCATTCAGATCCTATGCATATAATTCCGATGACAGCCTCGTCCGTTGCGATGACGCGTGTCAAGCAAGTGGAATCTGAGTTAGTGGGGCAGCAGATCGGCGAAAGAGTCCTCTCTACTCCTACCACAACCGATGGATTCCATTTTTTTCCCCAATTTTTTTCTGTCAACCATTCGATCAGAAACTCTCAGCCGCTGATTGAGGCAATTCCTGCGGAAAAGAACACGGTCTCCCCTCCAGAATTGTTGTGGCGTCCTGACGATAACTGTGAGGACATGACTATCCGTGTGCGATTGTTTAAGGTCAAGCCCCCAGTTGTCTCTGTTGGTGGCGTCCGAGAGGAACTTCAAGACCCTACTCGAACAGAGGCACTCGCGGCTTCTTTCAACCTCCATGGCGTAAGACAGCTCTATGGTCTTCCACGACATGAGGGGACAGGACGCGGTATGTTGAGGAACCGATTGACCCTTCGGATACCCCTTGATGGGTTCCACTACACGGCATCCATTAAGGGCTATGATAAATATGGGAGATCCTCAGAACTGGGTGTGTTACCTATTGTTTTTGTTGAGTTCGATAGATCTTCGTCTTTTTGTTCATCCTTCCAACCCCAAAGGGCGATGAAACCTCGTACGGTGGGTATCTTATGGTTTAACGGGGCTCCTTTTTCCGTCAGCACTACCACATTGCCTTCACCGCTTGCCGCTAGAGGCGGTGGCGACACCAATTCTAGTTTCACAGTACAGCTTAATTTTACCAGCAGCGCCGCAGCAACGCGGATCTATTTATTACCAGGTCCCACCCCCTCGGATGTAGTAAAACAGTACTACACTTTGTCTGGATTCCCAACGATGCCACCTCTAATGGCGTTGGGGTATCACTACCACACAGACATCCCTCTTAAGAATGATGCCAGTGTTTTTGTGCGTGCCATAAACCGCGCCTTTTGGAACGGTCGCGTCCCGCTCGATTCAATCGGCCTGATCTCTGAGACGATTAATCAGCGTGGGACGTTGCTAACGTGGGATCGCGATGTCATTCAGGACCCGATGCGTATGCAGGTTGAACTATGGTATTACGGTCGGCGCTCCTTCATTGTGCGTGTCGTTCCCACTATACCGATCGTACAAAACTCGCCACCCTATCATGAAGGCCGTCGGGGCAGACATTTCATCAGTCTGGATCCGGATAATGACACCTGGTGGGTAGCATACCCAACAAACCATCGACGCAGTCATGTCATTGACTTTGTCAGTCCTACCGCGCGTGAATGGGTTGGCAAAATGTTCCACTACAGACGATTTACCGAATCCACCAATTTCACCTTTGTGGCGCTCCAGCAGGCCGCGCCCGTCTTGCTCGGAACGCCCGATTCCACCTTGCCTATGCATCTTGGCCACACCCGTGGCCTCATCCACCGACAGGTGCACAATGTCTTTAATACCTACGCCATGATGGCTGTCCATCACGGTTTGCTCCGCCGAAACGTCTACCACCGTCGATCTTTTGTAACCGGTGCGAATTATTTTATTGGGATCCATCGCTTTGGGGGGGTGTTTCTTCGGTACAGGTTAGTTAGCCCAGAGGACATTTTCGAGGAAGATCGGATGGGTGGTCGGCGATCGTCTTCAACCGTCGCGTCCTTCACCCACTCTCAAATCGCATGGCAGCAGCTAAAGGACGCGATCTCGGATAGTGCGTCTCTGGGAATTGTGGGGATTCCCTTTGTGGGGGTAAATATCGCCGAAGGGGCCTCCGAGCGGGAGGCCATCTGGTTTAACCTCTCACCCGCCGAGAAGGAGGAGCTTCTGACGCGATGGTATCAAGCGTTGAGTCTATTCCCTCTCATGCAAACCGAGGAGCGCGTTGAGGGTTCCCCCATGGAAGGGGAGGTCGCGGCGTCCGGGATTTCGTTAGCGGTGCGTTACCTCGGTGTTCGCGATGCCATTCGATTTCGCTACGCGTTGTTGCCCTATCTTTACACGTCGATGTGGCGTGTGAGCGAGGACGGGAGTCCCA